CCTCACACATACCTGGTTTGCCTCTTTTCCACCTTTGCCCTTCTTGGGTCCTGCTACATACTAGTCTGGGTAGCGCTCTAGACAATTCCTTTTAAAATGCCCAACTTACCCACACTTGAAGCATTTTTCCTTCATCGAACCAACATTGACCCAAATGTTTCCCTCCGAAAATCTTACATTCTGGAATATGAAGGAATCCCGAACCTTGAGTACCAGTCGAAGCTGTATGAGTTTACTTCGACTTCCCTCCAGAAAATCCCTTTCTTCATGTGGATGCTAAGGAGGCAAAACTTTTCTGCTGCTGACCTCTATTGCGTTTGGAAAATGGTGCATAGTATGAATTTCCAAACCTTTTGCTTGTCTGAGCGTTTTTCATCTCCAAATCTTCAAGGTCAACTTTTTCCATAACTTTAGCCTTGTTTACCGCTTCTTAGAAAGAACTAAAATCATGAGAAACCAAGATCCTTTTGTACCGAGGATCTAACCCAGAAATAAACCTATCAATTATGGCATTCTCTGACGGAAGAAACTCCGATGCAAATCAGCTCAATCTATGAAGCTTACATTCATACTCATATATTGTTCTACCAGACTACTTCAAATTCAGGAACTGTTGCTTCATTTCATTGATGAACACGTCCCCAATGTACTTTTCGTTGAATTCCCTCAGGAAGAAGTCCCACGTGATATGCTCAAGAGAGACTCGTGCTATAACTATACTCCACCACACACTGGCTTGCTCCATCAGTAGAGAGACAACCCCTTCCAATTTCCTTGATCGTCACAAGGAATCCTGTTTAGCATGTTCATAACATCTTTCAACCAGTAATCGGTATGCATCAGATCAACGCCTGTATCACCTTAAAATTCGGGTGTTGTCATTTTCCTTAGTTCTTTCAGGGCTGACATAATGGTTCGGCAATTAATTATATTGTCCAATTCCTGAAGGAATAGTCCTCTATCTTGCACAAGAATATCGTACTAATTTGGATTAGGCGGCTCTACATTAGACTGAGAAAAGGTGGATTTTGGTTAACCTCATTACTCCCACTTTGTGCATAAGTAACTCGTTCGGTTGCCTTACTACATTCTTGATAATCTGACATCTGAACACAGTCAAAATCATCTATCATCAGTAAGGAGTAACTTTACTAAATAATAAGCATCATAGCATATATACAACTATTAGTAAAATTTTGACATCCTAGTAGCATGTATGCATTCTTAACTAAATTTGACTCATTCCATGTCCAGAAATGGCTAAACTTGTAGCTCTGATACCAATAAATATAACACCTACTACTCGTATACTTATACCAATATTTGTTATAGATGTCACATGAATTACTTAAAACATTGCCCAACTCAAAAGTGATTTAAAATTCATTTAATCCAAATTGTAATTAATAATATAAAATATTAAATCACATAAAATTGTTGAAGTATATTCAAAACATATATTATCATAAAATACTGATTAATACCATCCATAGTGAAATAGAGTAAAACAGTTTAGTTTAGCCTTTAAAAACCAGTTCCAAAATATTTCAACAGAGCAACAAGAACATTTACAAGTACATGCCACTAACTAAGACAAAATCACATCAAAGAATGTCTTACTGATATTGTAATATACTCATCGATGCTTGGGGTTGCTCAATTCCCTTACTCCTACCTCTGATCTTTACCTACGCATGAAAATCATCACGCACTAAGTATGTACTTAGTGAGACAATTAAAATAATAAATAGTGCAATACAACTCATGCATGAAATTACATGTCATTTTCCAATGTAATAAGATAACCTTACCTTCATGTCCAATATTTTACCATAATCACATGATAATGATACCATTATAATCATTTTTCCAATAACCATAGCCCAAATATAAACTTATTAAGACCCTGGGTATTCGAGTGAAAATATATGCACACCGTAGTGTTAAACCTGCACTAAGCTTACACTCTAGTGCTAATCCGGATATGCTAGTGCTAATCCGGATATGACACATAAGGTCGTGCCCACCACCTGCACTTAGTGTCCTTACACACTAGTGCTAATATAAACCTGCAGTTGTTATACTTTATGGCATGCCAATTATACCTTGTCCTTCAACGACTTACTTGGGCATATAGTATAATTTATTTTATCCATGGCATTGTATATTCATGTAATTAAGATTAGGGCAGTTCATACCCAAAATAACATTCATGGAAAATATCATATCTTTCAGTGATCAATGCAATATGATTTCACACTTTAACATATCAAGGTCATGTCAATATTATTAATAATGGCATAATATCATGCTGATATAAACAAGGTAGACTCATCACAAGTCTTCCTATGATGTATAAAACATACATGAATAATGTCATGCATGCATTGCACTCACCTTGACACTTTATAATTTTCAAAAGATTTGCCTCACTATGCTCCAAACTTAATCCTTTTTATACTCAATTTCTTCGAACGCAAAGTCAATCACGATCTGTACAAAATCATAAATTTATATCGATGCATATGTTAGTATTGTACTAGCGTATATACATTTCCAAAACAAAAATCCATAATCATACTGGAAACTTATTCACCATCAAATACTTTAACACTTATTAATTCTTTTAATTTTGGTACCAACTTTTCCAACTTATATAAAATGGTTATTCACATTTTACCACTCAAAGTTTAAATGCCAAAAATTCCAGCATTGAAATAATTATCACCCAAGTACATATACAAAGGCATAATTACAATTAAACACCCCAAACTAATTGATTATTACATATAATTCACTTAACTTTCCAAACTTCCAACATCCTAACACTCATTTCAATTCCCAAACAAAAATTTTCAACATAGTACATCAATTATAGAACAATTACATAACAACCATCATTTTCTAAAAATTGTTGATTTGGTCCCCTAGCTTTTCAAAAATTACCAAATGGTCCCCAATTTTTATAAGTCTTGTAGAATACTTCCTACATCATTTCCAGCCCTTACATAATTTTTCCAAAATTTTTATCATCCATTTATTCCAAGGTTGAATTTCCAAAGCTCCTATACTAGGTTTTTCATGTTTTTGCTCGATTTTGAATCGATTCAAATATTAAATCAACTTCTTTCCAACCTTACAACATCTTTGCAATCAAATCCCTAATCTAATTTCATCAAAATACAAAGTTTCCCCAAATTATAGTTTGTCGAATCTTAAAGAACAATTTCTAGGAAGATTGAACATGTTTAACCATCACACAAGCATTAAAATGAATCTACAACCTCAAAAACATCAAGATTCATCATCACTTCCATAAACCCTAATATGAGCATAAACCTTTAAATTTGGTATCTTTAAATTCAAGCAAGATTAGCAAGCATAAATGGTACCAAAAGATAGCGTTTTTGTGTAGAATAATTTTCTATTTCACGACATAACTCAAAATCCAAAGGAAATTGCTCAAAAATTGTAAAGAAACTTTATCTCACCTTTGGAGGAGCTCACGGCTGGGATAAGGAAGATGAACAAAATAACATGAAATTTTAGGTTAATTTCATGTAATTTACCTTTAATTTAAGCTTAAATGAATATGTTATTCATTTAATGGAGAAAATACCAATTTACCCCTAATTAAACTTCATATTTGCCATAAAACCAATATACCTCAACCTTATTATCTTCCAAAAGTTAAATATGAACAAAATATCTCCCACTTTACCGTTTTGCCCTTGCAATTGCCTAAAAATTATAATCTTGTCACTTTAATCCGACGGTTCAAATTTAACATGGAATTAAATCCTCAAATCCAATGGTTTATAATATTTTCCATCATTTTAAAATATGAAAATAATATTTTTAAGCCTAATTTATCTTCCTTCAAATTTTCTCAAAATTTATATTTGATCCGATTTGCCGAATTTTTACTAGATTTTAACACTTTCTAGTTTTTAACACAATTTTCGGATCAATAATCTGATTTCAATAAAACCTAACTTTCAAGAGTAAACTATCATTTATGGAATAAAAATTCATTCTGGGAAAATTACCACTTATGTCCTTAAACTTTTCTAAAGTTTATATAGCCACTAAACTTTCAAAAATTACATTTTGATCACTAACCAAAATTTGGGGTATTTAAAAACTTTACAAAGAAAATTTTTCATTAATGTTCTTCAATGGTAATACATCCTTAAGAAGATGAAGGATTTTATCACTAGGATGATCTAGTTTATTATGCCAAGAGACACTAGTAGAAACATTGTTACAACAAGAAGTAGCATCAAAAGGAGTAATTCTCAGCAGGTAGAGGCCTTAATGTATCTCACCCTTCCCAATCACTCGGTGTAAGACTTGAATTAAGCAATTGTTTTTACAAAACATCACACTAAGATCAGAATCAGCTATCAGAGCACTCACGGACAAGAGATTGAAATGAAATTCTGGAATAAATAAAACATCACGTAAAACAAAGCTAGGTTAAAGACATATCATTCCAGCAAAACCAAAAGATATGACAATTTTATCCGGTAACATTACAGAGCCGCCTGAGATGGGAGTTAAAGTTTCAAACAAAGTTTTCGAACAACAAACAAGCCTCGAAGCACCCGAATCCAAAATCCAAAAATGAGAATCGTCGAAGGACAAATGATTAACATAGTGCAAAAGCTCACCTAGCATGGTCATATTCACCGAGGATGAAGGAATCTCACTGGAAGAGGCAGCATGTAACTGTGAAATCAGCATGGTAATCAATTGTTGGCACTGCTGTTGGGTCAATGCCTCAGTAACTGAGGCAGAATGCTGGTGAAGAACATCATCTGGGACGAGAACCGAATTTGAATGAGCCAAAGAAGTCGTTTTGGTAGTTGAAGAACTGGAGGACGAAGTCTTGGATCCATAACCAGGTGGATAACCGTGTAACTTGTAACACTTATCCCTCGTGTGACCAAGAAGATTGTAATAGGTGCAATGTGGGCGACTTTTGTGTTGACGATGATTCATCTTGACAGAAAAAGTTGCATCAGCCCAGCAGTATCAAGCTTGATTGCCCTTTGATTCTCTTCCTGAACAATCAAAGAGATAACCTTGGAGATGGACGGAAAAGGATCCAATAAAAGAATCTTCCCTCGAATATGAGAAAAAGAGTTATTCAAACCCATCAAGAATTGGAAGATTTGCTCCTGCTTCTGCTCATCAAGCACTCTTCGAACCCTTCCACAAGAACAGACAAACAATGTGCAAACTTGCTTAATGGAAGAGAGTTCATCCCAAATTATTTTCAATTGGGTATAATACGTACTAACGCTCTACTGACCTTGAACCAAGCTAATCAGCTTCTTCTTCAATTGAAACAACTGAGGCCCATTCGACTGTTGAAAACGTTCAACAATGTATTTCCACATATCAGAAGTAGAACTATGATACAATAAATTGGCCGCAATCTCTTTGGAGACAGAATTCAAAATCCAAGAAATCACCAGATTGTTCGCCTGAGTCCAGGCATTGAAGAGCTCAGACGATGAAGGATCAGAAGGGACGACCGAGCCATCTACAAATCCCAACTTCTTCTTGGCCGAAAGATCAAGAACCATATACCTCTTCCAACAATGAAAATTATCACTAGACAATGGTTGTGACACCAAAACCATGCCCGGATTATCATATTGGTGTAAGTAGTATAGGTTATTCCCGTTATCAAAAGCATCGCTCACATTGTGAATCATGACGAGAGAAAAAAAACCAATGAAATCAGAGGAAAAAACTTCTGATACCATATAACAGTTTGATGAAAGTTGTTGGAAAGCAACGACAGTGGAAGAATAATTTATTTCTTGATAATCAAAGTTACAAAGATGAAGTTTACATACAGTAAAGCAATAAAGCAAAACTAAACTAACCCTAATAACAAACTTCTACAACTGATACAATTAGTTATATTAATATTCCGACGTCCCCAAAACTCTCGACTTTCCATTCCCGTGGTGAGATCTCGATCGACCATGGACAGGGGTAGTTGAAACTCCAACGAGCCCTAACCCTTTTTTATTTCAAAAACAACAGCTCAATGTAAAAATGAAAAAAAGGAAGCTTGAAAATATCTTAAAAAATGCTGTCTTATTCCTTTCTTTAATATTTGGAGATTAACCCCTTTTATAAATGTTTGAGGGCTTTTCAAAGCAATTCTTTGGTTACAATCGACAAAATGAAAAAAAGCTTGATTTTTTACAACTCATTTTGTCTTTGTTTGTCTTGTTTGCTTGCGTGGATACTGACTAGATGAGGAGGGCTCGCCTTTACTGACGTGGAGGTCATTCGGGCAAAAAAGATGGGGACCAATGTTGCTTGTTGCTGAAAATCAGATTTGGGACCACTGTGCGTGACTTCTCACGTGGAGATCTCTGTAAACGGTGGCAGCAGTTGTAACTACTTTAAGGTTAAATTTAGACCATTGGATCATTCGTAGATCCAACAGCTACTATGCTTGGCAGCTAGTGTTTGGGAAGCTCCAAAGTGTGTGGATTTTTAGGGTTTTGTAATATTTGGACTTGTTGGGTTTCTATTTAGATCATATGTAATGAGTTAAACATATTTTGCTTGTAATGGACTTTATTTTATGGAATTTTATTTAACATGATTTATTTATATTGGTTTATAATAATAATAAAATGGGATTTAAAAATGATGATTACACCACCAGCGCTGAATTATTAAAATATTAAAGAAAGTTTATCTTCTTCGGTTATCTTTCAATTAAAATCATATATATCCTCTCGAAGAAATTAATAATTAACATTACTTTGAAAAGCATATCATCCTCTTAGCCTAACCTTTCAAATTCATTTAACGATATCTACGAAGTAAAACCCGACATCTGCATCTGCATTAATAACAACCACAGGTTTTTAATCCACTACGTATACTCAAATTCTACTGCTAATTATTTTTTAAGCTTTTTTCTTATGGTATAGTGGTAAAGAAAAGATGATTAATATCTGGCAAGATTCGTTAAGAACTAAATCATCATTTTACCTCCATGGATTAATTAAATATCAAAGTATATCCTATAGTGAATTTATTGAGTGGTTTTGATAATTAAAAGGAATTTTATTTTATTTTTTTAAGTTCGTACGTTCGAATAGTTACGTCTACAATATATTATTAATAACTAAAAATTATGAACATATTTTATCTTATAATCATTTCAAATTATTTAAAAAATATACTACATAATTATTATTGTCGTATTAAATTAATTTATAATAGTATATAATTATTTATTCACAGAAGTTCCGATAGTTAAGATGTATCGTATCATTAAATTCAATGGACATGATCAAATTGAGCTTTTTCTTGTGTCTTCTTTTGGTGCCGAATGCGTCTGGAATTAATGAAAGGAAATGAAATGCTGTCATCATCTTCACGCGGAGCCAAAATCATGCTATGTGTTATCCACTCGAATTTTAAATATAATTTGATTTAAGCACAAAAGTTAATGATTTCATTTAATCAATTCAAATTAACTTAAGTTTAGAATCGTTAAAAAATATAATAACTTAAATTTGAAACAATTTTGATAAATATCTTGAATTATTTAAAATTAAAGGTTGTAAAACTATAAATGATCAAATCATTTAATTATCATATCTGAAAGACCTTAATCTACAACTTATATAATTTAAATCTCAAATGACTGAAGATTAAATAAGGTGATTCCAGTATGAAATTAATCTAAATAAAAATGATGAAGTAAAATTATCAAAATCACATGTTTATTTATAGATTTGTATATCCAAGTATCAAATTTTGATATGGTTTATACAATTTTTTAGGGGTATGTAACTTTTTCAACTATGAATTCCTCTAGATTTCTTCTACAAGTCACACCTTTGTTATTATTTCATCGTCTATCAAATCTCAAAATTTTTAGAGTTTTTTTTTAAGTATTTGGAGTTTCATATCCTCCTGTCAATTATTGTCTCTTGACATATTAACAACCCACATAATTTAGCAGTCAAATCTATTACTCCCTTCATCCCATGATTTTGTCCATTTTGATTTTTAAAATTATCTCATTTAAAATGTACTATTAGAAAAGTCAACAAACAAAACACTTATATTTACTTTTTTACCCTTTTATGTCCTACCTTCAAAACAAATCTACCAATCACTTTTAAGGATATTTTTGTCATTTCCTTTACTTTATATAACTTAACATATGGTCAAACTTATCTCCTAAAAGTTTGTGTTTACTCAACATGAGACAAAAATCATGGGATGGAGGAGTATTTGACAGCAGATCTATTTACCATGCCAACCTACAAATATTCATCAGCACCTTACGTCTGACACAAACAGTAAGGGCTTGTATATAAAGCACCATGAAATGCTAGAAAATGGAGGATGACACATTCTTTTTCATTTTTTTACTATTCATAATCTTTTTCAACTCATTTGTTCTTTCTTTGCCCTTCATTGAATAACAGTCTGCGGCTCTCCATTAAAATCATAAGGCTGAGATACAAAAATGCCACAACTCCAATTGATATTTGGTGCAATGATTTTGAATCACCTTTTGACTAAGAAGAATCAACTAAAATGAAATCTTAAGTGTAAAATAAGAGTCCTACCTCCTATTTTCCCGGAATAACCTTGATGTGTTTGACTTTTTCTACCAACAATAACAAATTCTATGAATCAACATACCATCGAGCTTATCATGATACATATTATCAATTCGATCAATAATAACATGTTGAACTATATTTTGATATAACAATTTAAGGCAAAATGATTTTGGACTTTAATTGAATTTATTAAAGTTTTCAAAAATAATTCAAAGTCCTTAAAAGTGAAATTGAACACAAAATGATTTTATGGACAAGCAGTACCGATATTGTTCTTACAGTATCGATACCTCATGAACAATACTAATATTGTTCATGTGGTACCGATACCAAAGGTAAGGGAAGAATCGATACTCACTAGGTAGTATTGATACTACTAGCATTGCTCAAATTCTAGAATGCAAAAAATGGTACTGATACCCAAAGGGGTATCGATATTACTTTGCATAGTAGTATTGATACCATTGTCATAGTATCGATATCATCAGGCCCAACGACTAGTTTAATTTAAATATAACAAAGGTAGTATCGACATTCCTTTTAGAAGTACCGATACCCTCTGTATTGGGCAATTTTATTTTGTAGAGTTTTCATCCTCAAACGGCTCTATATGACTCCCAACGACTAGAAACAACCATAACTTCATTCTAACATATAAATACAAGTTCAAGACACTTGAAAAAGGGTTAGAACGCCTATCCAAGCAATCAAACACAAGAGAAGACTTTTTCATTCTTATTTTTTCTATTCTCTTATAAATATTGTGTTTTTAGTGAGCTTCAATTTGTAAACACATACCTTGTAAGGGTTTTCTTGTTTACACTATCATTTTTTTTGTAAAAGGGGTTTGGTTCTAGTTTAGCCAAGTAAAAAACTAGGGAGTGTAAAGGTTATCTCTTTATCCTTGAAAAAAAAGAACAAATTAGTGAATTTGTTAGAAAATCCTAAGTGAGGAGCTTATGTAGTGGATGTAAACTTCATTGAGGGATTTGAACCACTATAAATCCTTGTGCAATATTATTTCTATATCTTCTTACTCATTACTCCTTAAAATTATCAAAAAGTCATTTCACCCCCTCTTGTAATTTTCTTTGGATGTTCAATTGAGCCTCTTCGATCTAATAAATGGTATCAGAGTTTAACTCATTAGAAGGTTTAACAACCTTAAGATGATCCTCGAATAATCTCTATCGATTCCCGATGCAACCGATAAAGAGATGGCTTCAACCTCCGGTGCCTATTACATTGAAGATTCACAACCAGACAACAAGTCACTCTACTTCAATGGAGCAAATTATGAATATTGGAAGAATAGGATGATGCTATTCATTCAAGCAAATGATCTAGGAGCTTGGAACTCTATCATGAAAGGATACGTCATTCCAACCGAAGAGATGGACGATTGGAGTAATGGAGAAAAAAAGAAGTTCCAACTCAATGCTAAGGCTATGCACATTCTCTTTTGTACATTAGGCCTGTATGAATATGGAAGAGTCTCCTCTTATTCCAATGCTAATTAGATATGGGATAAGCTCCAAGTCACTCATGAAGGAACCAATAAAGTAAGGGAAACCAATATAAGTCTTCTCAATCATAGCTACGAGAATTTCAATATGAAACCCGATGAAGACATCAAAGCTATGACGGATAAATTTTCTGTGATTGTTAATGGTCTCAAGGGATTTGGAGAAGTAATCCCTAATGAAAAGTTTGTGAGGAAGATGATCTACTCTATTCCAAATTCTTGGTAATCGAAGAAGACAGCGATCATTGAGGCTAAGAATCTAAAGTCTCTCACTCTCAATGAGTTGATTGGTTATCTTCTCACTCATGATTATGAATGTCCCCTCCTAAAGAAGAAGGGATCATCCAAGAAAAAGGCATTTGTGGCAGTTTGGAGTGATAAAGATGACTCCAATGATGAAGATGAAGTAGCCAACCTATTTCTCATGGCCATCGAAGAAGATTCAATGGTATCTTTTAACTCAAATGATTTAAATTCACATTCTTTTGATGAGTTACAAGATGCTTATAATGAGTTGTATTTGGAATTTGAGACCATGAATTACAAATATAAGAAAATAATTTCAAAACTTAAA